TAGTAGTTCTTTTACCCAATGTGAGTATTGCCCAGACAGACTCCGTCTTATCCATTCCATCACTTATTATTTCTTTACAGTTTACCTCATTATTGACATACAATGCTACTCCCCCACGTTTACCTTTGATCCGGTCTTTCCTAAACAGCACATACCCTTCCATACCTGTACTCCAGTCATGACTACTGTTCCACCATGTTTCAGTTATTCCTATGATATCCGGTTTCATTTCTTGGACCAGGAGCTCTAATTCCTCCATTTTGTTACCTAGGCTTCTTGCATTGGTGTATAAACATCTTAATTTATGCCGTTTGGCCTCTCTCACATTCGTTATCCCATTTGGTATGCACACCGTACTGCTAGTATGACCTATTAATCTAGAATCCACCCCCCGCCCCTCCTTATGTCCAATCTCGTCCCCCCGGCTATATCCGTTCTTATCTCATCGTCCTCCCTCTCAATGTTATAATCTGGTGTGGAGATTAACTGGACATCTCCCAACCATCTCCCCCAAATTCCTAGTTTAAAGCTCTTTTGATGAGATGAGCCAGCCTTCCTCCCAGAAGTCTATTTCCTTCCCCAAATTGGTTGTGAGTTCTATACTTAGATTTCACCAACCAATTATCAAATGTAAACTCCACAGGCACTGTAACAGCCCTAACATGGAGTTACAAACAGTCCCCTAGGGTACTCCAATCTATCTTGTGTACCTTGGTGATAGATGACCCTTATACCAAAAATGTCAGCAATATTCAGGTTATTCCCAGTCTCAAAGGACCAGTCCCTTACACCAGGTCAATGATCCTTTAGATTTCACACCAAAGACAACGCTTGTAGCCAATCCCATACAAGCTTCTATAATCAGCAAGCACTAAATGTCCTTTAAGGCTAACGCAGTCTAAGCAGCTGCGGATCTCTAGCTTATGCTTAGAAATATCTGCCCCCCACTCCTGCAGCGTCCAAACAGCATAATAAGTTCCTTCTTGTTATGGGGTTTTATTCTATTCTTCCACATGGCTTCAGCTGCAAAGCTCAGCTGATGGGAGGAGTCCCTTTCATGACTCATCTTCACAAAGAGGAAGCAGGACAATAAAAAAGTCTTTTGTTCTCTTCTTGAAAGTATTTAGGGAACTTCTAGTTGCAACATCCCACAATAGTTTTTCTGGTATTGATGGACCTTTCACTTTGGGAACACTTTCTGTTGAAGATTAGCCTTTGACACTAATTTGTATTTCCCTCCTGTCTGGTAATTTACACAGTCACAGAGGCCCATAATACATCTGCTAAAATATAACCTTATAATATATATATAGTTGTTGTAAGTGAGATTACTGCATGCAGCAACTCAGAAGCATTTAACAAAGTCTACACTCCAAACACATTCTTATAATTCTAATATCCCTGTTTTAACAATACTAACACACAGGTGAACCAGACTGATTCCAGCTATGTACTTGTCAGTGTTCAGCTGAGACATAGGGAGGGACATTGTCATGACTGGCACCTGGTCTGCCAGCATCACAAAAGGACTTGAGCTAAGATGGTTACCAAAACCCTCTGATGCCATTTCCTGCATGGATGGAGTCAGGGCTGGGAACAGAAGAAACTAAGAACCCTTGCTGGGGCCAGTTCAGGAAGTTTCTGCATTGGGTGATCTAGACAAGCAAGCCACCAGTCCATTGACAAGCCAGAGCTGCACATCCCTCCAGCAAGTTAACAGGGGAAGGAACAGCCTGACAATGAAATGCGGTTTAAAGTTGGAAGGTGGGAAAGAGACAGCACAGCTGAGGTAATCCCTGCTAAATTCCCATTTCCCCAAAACAAAGCTTGTATAACTCTGATCCCTGGCTTTAGGAATCTAGCAGCTTCAGCACTGCAGTGACCAGCACTGAGAAAGATCTGACCCTGCAGTGGCTGCCAGGAGCCCCAGGGGATTCCAGTGAGTCAGTCTGGAGTCAGGAGAGGAACCTGTCCTACTCAGGCATGAATTCAAAACAAGATGACTTTAGGTTAAACCAGCCACCATCACAGTGCTGCAACACTCCACCTCAGGACACACAGCTCGGGCAGTACCACCCACCTTAGGATGCAGGGGATTGGGTTAATTATTAATGTTTTTTCATTATTAGATAACCATAGCCCCTTCCTTCCCCAGATTCTATTCTCCTGTGAGCAATACAGTTCCCCTCTCTGTTAGTCGTGGTGTGTCCTTCATTTGCTGAGGTTTATTTTATTTACTTTATTGTTCCCATCATCCCCTGTGCACTGGGCTTTAAACTCCTTTCCTGTTCACAGTATTATTACGAATTTCTCAAGGAATAGCCACCCTGTGCATTGGGCACAGTGAGAGTCTCTTTGAGTGGAGGGTCTAGGAGCACCAAAGACACTAGCTCCACTCCAGTGTGGCTTCCCCTCCCAGGGGCTCCACTTGACTCAGTCCTTCCTCCACAGCTGCCTACTAGCAGCCCTTTATAAGTCCAGGTGTACCCCAGTCCTCTTTAATTAACTAGACTGGGCTCACCTGCTCTGGTCCAGGGGAGCTGGGCTCAGTCTATCAACCCTGTGATATACCCCCCACCCTTTCCAGGAGAAAAAAATATGTATTCTTTTCCTTTTTGTGAGGTGCCCCCCAGGGCTATTCTAACCCCATACAATGTAAAAACACCTTTCCTCCTCAACATTCTGCAACATCAGTTATTACACCTTTCAGGGCCCAAAGTTTTCTTAAACTTAACCAAAATTATTTCCCTCAATGGTGTAACATAATACCATTTCCTGCCGTCCCTCTCCATAATGGAGTATTCTCTGAGTCCCAGAAACCATAGCCAGCTTCCCCCAAGAACAAACTGTGGGTCCCAATCACCCTGAGTTTTATGCTGTAAGGCCAGGGTCACATGCCCAGGATCACTGGGTACAATCTCTAGGTGATCTTATCTCTGTCACCTGGACTTCAGGGTCACTGCAAGTCTAGGCTTTTCCATTTCTGCATGAAGAATCTCCACTTTGGTCTCAAGTTCATGAACCAAGCAGAGTAAACAGTTTCTCTCTTCCTCAGAGAACTGGAGATCTGTGGCCCATTGTTCTTTCTGGAACTTTAGATCTTGTAAATTCACTTTCCTCCAACTCCACTCACTCTATAAGCTCATTGGCCCTGGGGGGGGGCATAAAACAGGGAAGTGTTATTTCTTTCCCTGCACTGGAGTCCTTTTTCTAGCCCTGGTCCCCTATTTGGGCGTCTACCTATGGAGTTGTCCTGTCTGATTCCACATGCTAGCTCGTTCAATGGCCACCATGGCTGAGGCTCATGCTGATGCTAAAACCAAAGTTGAATATTTCAGCTCAGATAGGGACGTTTAAAATTCCTTGGTGTCCTGGGGCCTCTTTTATTTTATAAGTTTATATAAACAGGTCAAGGTGTCAAAAGTCATTAAAATGATCTAAAGCAGTCTGGTGAGTGAAGGGTAAGAGTTAGCACTTTTTAATAAATGTATTTTTATTAAGAGTGAGTTTTTAAAATGTATCTTTATCCCCCAAACACCAGGGGATGGTGGAGCCTGCTGTCTGTTGTGGGCCAAGCTTTACTTAAAATTTCCATTTTCTAAACAGGGCAGGCTTGGTGCATGTTGTGAGCCACCAATGGAGGTGTTGGAGAGACACTTAATGCTCGGCTCCTCCATGTAGCTGGAGGGAGCAGACATCAGACACCAGCTACACACCCTGTCAAGTGCTTTATATAAAAGACACCTGTAAATACACAGAGGAGGCCCAATGTTACTTACCCCAGTCTCTGCAGTTTGCAGTTCGGGTGTGTCAGTCCCTTACACAGACGTTGCACGCCGGCATCTCCCAGATAATTATAACCCAGGTTCAGATCTGTCAGGCTCTCGTTGGCTCTGAGAACATCAGCGAGATCCTCACAGCAAGCACCTGGGAGATGACCACTAAAGAAGCTGCAGAACAGAGAAAGGCAGAGAAGAGTGATCACAATGTGAACAGGGCTCATCACAGCACTTCTACCAGGAAGCCCCACCCTTCAGCCCTTCTCCCTGACCAATCAGCATTGAGAATGAGCCAGAAGCCCTACCCTAGCCCTGTCCCAAGCCCAATCTGTGTCCAATGAGGAACAAGTTTTAGGTGCCTGCCTAAGCTCAACCCCTTGCATCTCACCCTTGACCAATCAGCATTGAGAATGGTCCAGACACCACAATCCTTAAACTTCTGCCATTGACCACTGAAAAATAAGGTTCTGGATAAGATTCTACCCCCAGGTTGAGTAAAGGTTGGTAGAGCCCCTGAGATATTTTGGAGGCAGGAAGAGAGGCACCCCCAATGGGGTGAGAGACTCTAAGTGTGGGTTGAACAAGAAGAGAAAAAGCCCATGGGTGTATGCGGGAAACAAGGAAGATACACCCTAACTGGGGAAGTTGGGGTGGGGCGGGAAGAGGGTGTCCATGATGAAGCAATGGAGAAGAGCTCCACAAGATTTAAAGGTAAGAAAGGAGGGAAGACAAGTGAGAAGTTGAGGAGGAAGAGACCCCAACATTGGGAGAGGACACATGAAGGGAAAGAAAGACCCCAACTGTGATAAAAAAGGAGAGACACCCTCCAAATGAGGAGTGGTGTTGGGAGTAAGCTTTGGGAAGGAGGTAGCTGTTCCAGCAGTAGGAGAGTTTATTTTTTGCTCTGGGCTCTGACTAGAGTCCATTCTTGAGGCGGAGTTTCTCCTTGGGAATTTGGTGCTGGGCTCAGATCTCTTGAAGAGGTGCCCACCCTGTGTGCTATGTAACCATCTCATTCCAAAACGGGTGAATAAATGTGAATATGATAAGTTTCACTTAGAGTTTACCCAGCCCCCCTGTCACAGATTTCTCCTCTGATCTGCAAGGTGCAGGACATCTGCCACCACGTGGCGGAGGGTAATGCAGGTGTCAGAACAGGACACTGGTTTTATAAGAAAAAGAAGCAACATAGACACAGACAGTCCCTGCCCTGAGGATTCTACGATCTAAACAGAACAGACAGACAAAATGTGAGGGAAAGGAAATATTATTATCCGCATTTTTCAAATGGAGAGATGAGACCTATAAGAGATTGAATGACTTATCCAATGTCACTGAGAGTCTGAGTTTTGATCCAGAGATTTAATTACACAACCAGCCTTTTTCTTCCCTTGTGTTTCTCTGTTTCAGAAAAGCCTTTTTAAGGAAGAGCTACTTAACAATCAGGGGCCGAACATTAGGGCCTGAGCCACTGATGAGGCTTCTTACCATATTGATACCCATTGTGATTTGCTAAAGTGGGTTAGAAGAATTCTGTCTACTGACCAGACCAGACCCAAGGAAACACCTGAAGATTATAAAGAGCTATAGGAATGGAAAACAAAAATTCATATAAGGTTTCTCAGAGGTGAGCAAGGAGTGGGGCGGGGAGTGGCCTGTCCCAGACATTTTTGAAATGTCAGATGCCATTTCCAGTATTTTAGAAATCTGTCATGTCTTTCAAAGGCAAAATTCTATTCAATGAAAATTACAAGAGCTTTCGTGGTTTTCATCTGGAATTCTGCACTGGGATAACCGGCTAGAATGTCATATTATGATGTACTGTTAAGAGAACTGCATACACCAAAACCACATGACCCCAAATATATTTGATTATTTCCCAGCAGATGCATACACAAACATTCTAAAAGCGAGCATCAACTCAGTAGGAGACAGGAACGCATGCACAAGTAGTAGCAGCTCCATGCTTAAGTTTCCATGCAGATTTATAGTTGAGGCAGGACTGAAAACCCTTTATTCTCACTAGTCTACCAGCCTGGACTCATTTGGGGCACTCCGTTAACCCACCACCTAGAAAATTTCATTTTTACTACATTAGGCACATGACTGGTGGTCATTACCAGGGTGGAAGTAGATGCTGGAAGTGGTGCAGTTTTTCTGTACCATGTACTGTTTAAAAGTTATTGGACACCCAATCTGAAAAAACAGTTGAGAAGAAGGTGTGAGTAACAGCAGGGGGAACCCATCCCAAGCAGTACAAAAACTAACTTTTCCCCCTGCTGTTACTCATACCTTCTTGTCAACTGTTTGAAATTGGCCACCTCTATTACATTGAACTCATTAGCACTACAAAGGTGATTTTTCCTCCCTTCTTATCAACTGTTGAGAATAGCCCACTTCCACCTCAATTGAATTGGCTCATTAGCACTGAGTCCCCATTTGGTAAGGCAACTCCCATCTTTTCATATGCTGTGTATTTATACCTCCCTTCTGTATTTTCCACTCCATGCATCTGATGAAGTGGGTTTTAGCCCATGAAAGCTTATGCCCAAATAAATTTGCTAGTCTCCAAGGTGCCACAAGGACTCCCAAGCATGAAGGGAATTATTGGAAGTCATCCAGAATGAACAGATGAACAGTAAATATTTCAACACTGTAAACCAAATAGTCTGAAGTTGGTTTAATTGGAGTGGGCAAAATTCTGTGGTAGCTGTGTTCTGTATTAAAAAATAGAAACAATAAACAATATGAAGGAGGAGCACATAAGGGGGTCTCAGAGATGGAGGAGATTGGAGAAAAGAGAGAGGGAATCAGAGGGGCCCTCTGGGGTTCTATGTAAATCCTCCCTATGTAACTAAAATGATCAGATGGTAATTTACCCCTGAGGGTGAGGGTTGAGGTCCTATATGAATGTATTTCCCTTGGATTGTTCCTCTTTCAGTCCAAGTATTATTGGGAAAACACAGTAATTTGGGGACAGATTTATATGATATTTTGTTATTTTATTTTTGGATTGAAATGAAGGGGAGAGCAGCAGCATGGAGGGAAATCAATAAAGGGGATAGTTGTGGAAGTTTACAAACAGAAATCAAGATGTATCCAGGCACACAATTTTAATACAATATAATTGGAAATGGGAGAGACATTTGCCACACCAACAGCCTCTGTGCAGACAATCCTTGGTCATAAAACAGAATAAAAGACTAGCTGAATTGATATCTTTAGTGTAAAGACAGGGAAAAATCTAAACAAAAACAAAACCCTTCTCTCTGTCCCCTTTGTAACAGGATTACCTGTGTCCACAGTTTACATGAGAGGTGGGCAAACTTTTTGGCCTGAGGGCCACATTGGGGTTCCAAAACTGTATGGAGGTCCGGGTAGGGAGGGCTGTGGCCCCCCAAACAGCCTGGCCCCTGCCCCCATCTGCCCCTTCCCACTTCCCGCCCCCTGACTGCCCACCTCAGAACCCCCGACCCATCCAACCCCGCTCCTTGTCCACTGCCCACCCCCTCCCAGGGCCTCCTGCCCACCTCGGTACCCCACCCCCCTCGCCAACCCCCACTGCCCCAACCCCTATCCACACCACTGCCCCCTGACAGGCCCCCAGGGACTCCCACACCTATCCAACCACCCCCTGCTCCCTGTCTCCTGACTGCCCCCCGGGACCCCCTGTCCTTTATCCAACCCCCTACTCCCAGCCCCCTTACAGAACTGGCAGCTGCGCCGCCCAGCTGGAGCCAGCCATGCCACCATGCTGCCCAGCAGGATCTCACAGCCCTGCCTCTCAGAGCACTGGTCGTATGGTGAGCTGAGGCTGCGGTGGAGAGAGGACAGCAGGGGAGAGGTTGGAGGCTAGCCTCTCTGGGCGGGAGCTCAAGGGCCGGGCGGGAGGGTCCCACGGGGTGTAGTTTGCCCACTTCTGGTTTATACGCTATTCTAATAATCTTTGTCTAAATTGTGCCTTGTGAGGTATCATTTGAGATCTCATGATTTGCTGGTCATTACTGTCCTGGTAAAATATGTGTGGCAACATCCTGTGTGAAGTTATAAGATTCCACTGTATGGTGTTACTAACACATGTTCCAAACTGAGGTTGGCTAACATGTCAGCCTCAAACAAAGGAATGTGTGCTCTGCACAGTTTGCAATCAGGCAGGAAACAATCATCAAGCAGGAAGGGGAGATAAAGGAGGGTCAAACTGGGGAGGGAAAAGCAGCAGGGGACATCCTTCCACATAGACTTTTTGTCTCTTGAATCCCTGCTGGAAATGCTTCTCAAAGGGGGGACAGGACTATAAAAAGAAAGGGCAGACACCCAAGGATATCCTTCCCTCTCTCTCTCTGCGCATTGCACCTGACAGACAAAGGAAGTAGTGTTGGACTGGGGGAGGGTTCTTGACCTAAGAGTTTGGTCAGTAATCATCTGAAGCATGTGGTAAGAAAACTGTGCTTTGAATCTAACGTAGCTTGTTAGGTTGGCATTAGTAAACATGTTATCTTTATTTTTCTCTAAAAAGCAACAGAGGGTGCCCCCAGTCTATAAGCAGCAGCATCTGTGACCAATCTGAAAGTGGTTTTGAAACATGGATAGGCCAAGACAGGAGCAGTCACAAGAGGCTTTTCCAACTCTAAAAAAGCTAAATCACACTCTGATGATCACCAAGATGGTTTCCCTTTCTCACCCAACCTATGCAATGGCTTCCTTCTAGACCAGAATTTATTAGATCCACTGGCACACATTTTGCAACTGTGGTTTCCTCTGTTACTATTTGCTGATTATCAGAACCATTCAACAAAAAACAGAAATCTTTTCCTTCTTCAGATCCACATGAATTTTAGCAACTAAAATTCCTTTTCCCCCAGAACCCTGGGTCTTAAAGCAAGTCTCAACCACGCTCCATCTTTCCCTTGCTGAAAAGGTAGTACAGCATGTAGCTGTTATTTCTGCACCTAGAGGCAGGACAAATTGCTCACTGCAAACCAATTGTCTACAAATCATTCGTTTCAGCTGGGTCACAACTTTAAAAGGAATTTCCACAGACTGTGTCACACTGTCCGGAATAGCTCACAACTGTGAGAGCCTACCTCAGGGCAAACTGTAGAAAAAGGGCAGACACTCCAAACTGATGGTATATTCTATAATTGGATTTCAACAAGCCAGTAACAAATGTG